ACTTCTGGTTTACAAGTGACTGTCCCTTAAAATCAATTTATACAAGTTCATGGACATATGGTCAAAATGGTCTAAATTTCCGAAATTTATGGGTCAAAAGTTCTTCAATATGAAAGTCTGGAAAATAATATTTCCTGATAATTGGAAACAGGACTAAGAAACTTAAATCTGTCCTAAATGCATCACAAAGCATTAATTAGCAGAATGTACAAGATAATATTAAGATGGTAATGAATTCTATTGTACAAACATGTCAAATAACATATAATATATGTGCTACAAATTATTTCAAATTATTTTTCACAGCTATTGCATGAGTCTATTTCTGTAATGAAAACATAGAAAACTGTTGTATACATTAACTGTAAATATATCAAAGAATTCAGATTGACTGACACGTGTATTTACATGAAACAGTGGTCAAGGAAATCTTAAATGCATATGATATACAGATTACAAGTTATACACAATTAGACAAAAAATCTAAATTTTCGCACAATGACACTTTGTAAATTTCAAAACGAAGTCTTCATGAAAGCAGACGCCCAAAGTTTTTAAAACCTGTTGTTCATTTTGTACACAAATGTCGTTATGACTTCTTCATGCTGGGCTTAAGGTCATCAAATCCAGGCCGCAAAAAGATATGAGGTTTCTTCTGGGGGTCAAATCCCTCGTGGCCCTGAAATATATCATTTCAAATGGATTCATAATGTCTTGTCACTGAAATGTTCTTTCTATAAGATTACTACAATTAAGTAAATATCATCATATTAAAAATCTGGCGATTTACTGTACAACAGGAATTAAAAGTATAAATCAACAAGCTAATGAAGACATCTTTTTTTCTTCTTGCTTCAGCAACTAAACAGAGTTAGGGTTATGTCCCTTGGAACAGAAACTGGGTTGGGTAATAAAAGCAATACCTTGGACCAGTCGTAACTTGGTTGGGTAATAAAAGCAATACCTTGGACCAGTCGTAACTGGGTTGGGTAATAAAAGCAATACCTTGGACCAGTCGTAACTTGTTGCATAGGCAAACACGTTCCCCTGTGCGTTGAAGTCACAGGCAGTTAATGGCTGATCAAACTGCTCGGAGGTCTTCAGCTTTGTGCGTGCGTCTTTGTCCCAGAAACTAAATCGACAATCGGAGCCAACTGTTGCGAGTGTGCCATGGGTAGGATGGAACCCAATGTCGTTTACCTGGAAATACAAGTTAAGTTTGATGAACAAGTGGCCCAAGTGTCTTAATCGTCACCTGAGCTGTAATATAGATATCTTCGATAAGATTCATCAGTTTGGAAATTTGTAATATCAAAGTCTTACTTTACAAACAATGTATGTACTAAACCTGTCAAAACGTTTCAAAAACGAGTACAGTCGAACCTCGTTATCTCAAACTCTTTTAACTCGAAGACCCCATTTATCTCGAAGTATTTCTACGGTCCTGGCCAAGTCTCTTCTTTATCTTTGTAATGAAACTCTGATCATTTGAACCCTGATAAGTCGAAAAACTTGGATACCTCATAGTAAGATATTGGTTAAGATAGCGTAAATCATCAAAACATCGTCTACTTCATTGTGTTCGGATTTCATTTTGTCACTTATTAATTGTTTGATACAAATAAAATGCAACAGTACGACATCTCGCCATTCCGTGTTTATGAACATCTTTCGTGAGAAGACTAAATGGGTAAAAAGAATTTACGATAAAGCTTCATACTATAAAGTGTGCCGACTGTCAAAACCATGTTGTTCATAATAAAAACCAAACTTCATCAATGTTGATCAACAGTATTCTGTACTTACTGCCAGTCCGTTTAATGATTTGTACACCCAAACAAACGACAGAAAAAAAATGGTCACAAAGCGTGGTCATGCATAAAAGAGTTCCACAGTTAAAATCACAACTTAGGACAGCTTCACATGTTCATTTTTTTACAGGAGTCAGTATGGCTTTGAAAGTCGATCGAGAGATTTAAGAACAATATGACAATTACTGTTGATTACATCGAGCTGAGGAGGTGTCAGGTGTCACCTTTAGCTTTAATTAATTAATGTGTTACATGTACGATATAATGTTTGTGTGTGTTTTCATTTACAGAATCAACTATGCGGACGCTCCATTACAGTGATTTGTTTTAGACTTGCACACTTTCATTTCTGCATTGTATAGTACGAGGACGGAGACAGCGGGAAAGTTCGATTTTTAAATGTAACTGTACACTTCAGAAGTAAAACTTGACAGACTTGCAAATACAAATGCAGATCTGGAAAGATTTGCCAAGATCTATACTAGCCAAAAACAACATTTAATCACTAGGCCCGTCCATATCTAATAAGAAATTCACAATATGGTCAAACCGTTTTGATCGTGTTAAACGAGAGTACGTTTTTCAGAAATAACTTATATTTACTCTACAGTATTTTTGTAAGCGTCTTAATTGTAAAACTACATACCTGTATTTGTTATATTGATTATATCATTCATCGATTGATTATAACTTAAACATTGGTTATTAATCAAATCAACAAATGCTAGTGCTATGTCCAAACAGCATTTCATACCAAATTTATGAACCCGCATAACTAGAAGTTTTCCCACGACCCCGTCGACTTCGAGATAAAGAGGTTCGACTGTATTGCCTTTGTCATGTATTGAATGAGTGAGCAATTGAATTGTTTATATGTACAACGATGTAACAAAATTGTAAATTTCATGTCTCTCAACATTGGAAGTTTTGCCTATCAAAAGACAATGGGAACACACTGTAACAAGTAGTATACTTGTTGGGTTAGGGTTAGGGAGAGGGCCCAGCTAGATCTACATCTAACCAGTTACCCACTTGATACGGTTTAAACACACTCTCTATTGGTAGGGGAAATGTCAGTCATAGCTCAACAAAGGCACCAGTCGGCCTTGAAATGTTGCAACACATTTAATACTTACATTTTTTGTGTATAAAGTAAAACATTGGTAAGTAATGTAGATATTTCATTGCTGAGATGTGAAGTGAAATAATCAGATAAACAAAGGTACAACTGAGAGATTTCTCTTGTAAATCAACATTTTACAAGCAAAATCCTGTGACACTTGCCTCCAAAATGCCTATGGACTAGTTCCCTCCCTTACCGAGGGTAGGTACGTAAACACTAGGCCATTTCGTAGTAGAGAGAGAAGTTTNTGAGACTAATAGAATCATTCACCCCCTTTGGGGTGAGATAGGGGAATCTCAACCCGAGGGGGAAGATTCTTATGTTGCCAAACACGAGGCTTTGCCGAGTGTTTGGCAACTTAAGAATCTTTCCCCGAGGGTTGAGATTCCCCTATCTTACCCACAAGGGGGTGAATGATTCTTTTTCTCTTACATGTACCCTGTTTTCCCCAATGTGTATCATATACACAATGTAATGATAACGTTACATGCTAAATTCAGGGTTGACGTGACGTTGATGGATTGTTGTCGTGACGTCATTGTATTGTTGCAGTGACGTCATACCATTGTTATAAATAGGGGAATCCCCCCGTCTCAACCCTAGGGCGGAGACAGATAAATCTAGCACCGGCAAAACGGGAGATAAAACTGTCAGGTGTGGGAGAAATGGGTATATTCAATGGATAACACAGTACATTATATGATAAAGTACAAATGTGTTTTTTTTAAAGCTGTCCTTACAGTGTATATGTCCTGCATGCCCTGGGTGGTGCCGTTCGACCGGTGACATTTGAAGGTGAAGTTATCTTTAGGACTGGTTGGGTTGATGTAGTGGATTGCTACTCTTCCCTCAATACTTCCGAGGGCAAAACCTGTTGGAGCATTTGTTTTCTTGTCCGCAAAAATACTTAAACATCGATGCTGAAAATATAAAGGAATACCATACAATTATATGCTTTTTACTTGTCAAATATTTTACTGCAGTTAATATCTCAGAATATTTAAAAGTTATAGAAAATAATTTTTTGAGGGATGGGGGTTATATTTATATAAAATAATCAATTAAACCCTTTTTGCCGATGTACTCCCTATTGTTGTCATACTGCTGTGATTAGAGAGTTTAGATTTCCTAAATCTGGTTATCATGAAAGTGGAATATTACTGACATGACAACAGAAAGCTCTCAGCCAATAAAAATATATTTAATGCTAACAAGTATAAAAATACCTGTCATTTTCCAAAAAAAAAGGATGTTTCTATAAGTTAATCGCTAACATATTCACATTTAGATTTAATGAAAGCAATCATTCATTATTCAAGTAGGTGTTTTTTATTATCATAAATTACCTGGAATTTCAGAGGTGATTCAATCCGGCTGAATTCCTGTGGTCTGTTCTCCAACTGGTAAACAATTAACCCCCTCTCTGCAGTTCCGACCACAGCCATGGGGTATTTCTGTGTGAAATCAAGTTTATTACATACTCACTAATAAATACAGATTTTTTGTATATGCGATACGACACAATCGCTCTAATCCATATCAGCCCTCGCCGTATCACACCCCAAAACCTGCACAGCTCTCTCCGTATCAGCCCGCAAAATCAGTGTCACACCCCTTTTGGAAATGTTTCAATATTTCAAAAGAAAAATAGATCATAAGATAGTAGATCTATCTGTATTCTATAAGTTCAAGTTCTTAATTACTTTGAATCTTTCGACTCATCAGTTACAAGTAACAAAGTGTAATATTTACAGTGCAAAATACAAAATAACATTACACAACATTACACACAGTCACAGCACAGTTACAAGTAGAAACAGTCACAAATGTTTGGAGAGTGCAACTAAGCTTTTTATAATATTGGTAATTAGTAAGTGTGTAATAAACAGAATAAAACATGCCCTTTTCCATATCACACCCACTGATATCCACTGATACTGGGTGTGATATGGAAAAGGGCGTGTATTATCTTATGTTTCCTAAGAATCATTAAAACATAAAAAAAAAAATCTCCATTATTGTGCAAGCACATACTATTTTACTTTCAAGATTTGAAGTGTGATTAGCCAGTTAAGTTTTTAAGTAACCATTTGTTCGTTCATATTTCTTAACAAATTTTCACACAATTTCTGCTATAAACAATAAACATACACATATACTGATAAGCATTTTGATAAGCCAAGAACAAAACATGCGATACAAACAAAACCTTGACCTCAAAATGTGGCCCTCTATCTATTAACAGACAGTATATAATATTTTTTCAATGTTTGCAAACCAACACAGAACAAGAGGACCAGAGGGCCTGTATTGCTCACCTGGATAATAAAGCAACTGTGCAAATTTATTCTCATTAAATTTAATACTGCAACTATTTCCAAATATTTGGTCTGTCTCTCAGCAACACCTGTCCCTTATTTGGTTCCCTTCTTTCTGCCCCCATGAATTTGGATGGATATTTTAAACATATACATGTACCTCAATTTCCCCTATTGGGCCCAGCCACACTGCCCCCAAAAAACAAACCTCCATTTATACATGTACAAAATTCAGTCCCCTTTGCCCATGGATACTCCACACAAAATTTGGTTAAAATGCCTCCAATCACATTGAAGGTGAAGGATTTGAGATTTACCTCAAGTTCCCATATTGGGCTCTGCACCTCTCCACCAAGCTAGGGGGAACACACCATCTGTTTATACAAATCTGGGTTCCCCTTGCCCAAGGATTCTCAACTTAAAACTTGGTTAAATCCTTCCAATCAAACTGAAGGAGATGCATTTTAAACATGTTCCCCCAATGGGCCTGACACTCTGTCCCCAGGGGAGCCACACCCTCTGTTTATACAAATTGAATTCCCTTTTGCCCAAGGATGTTCTAGAAAATGTTCTAGAAAATCCCTACATCGTAGAGAAGGATTTTAAAGATTTACCTCAATTTCCCCTATTGGGCCTGTCCCTCTACCCCAAATGGGGGCCACAACATCCATTGATACTAAATTGAATCCTCTTAGCCCAAGGATGCTCTACACCAAATTCGGTTGAAATCCCTCTAATTATACAGAAGAAGAAGGATTTTAAGGGGAGCAACACCCTTTGTTTAAACAAAATTGAAAACTCCTTGCCCAAGGATTGTTGCAGACAAAATTTGACTAAAATCCCTATATTCCTACAGAAGAAGGATTTTTGAAGACTAACCTCACTTTCCCCCACCCTTCAATTTATACAAAATTGAGTCCCCTTTGCTCAAGGATGCTCCTAGCCAAATTTAGTAAAAATACACTGAGAGTCTTAAGCAGTTATTGATGGTGAGATTTTTGGTAAACTACAGTTTATAAGAACAAAATAGTGCAACCATTTCCGAGATTCCTCTTTGTAAATTGATCATTTCCAAGCTGGTTTTTTGTTTCATACCTAATGATTATGTAACAGGTTTCCGCCAATGTTTAAATAACTTACCACATCAGCACAGTAGCATCTCTCTGGGAGCTGTATGGAGTCAATGGGAGTCGCCTGTCGGGTGTCCCAAAACTGTACAAACAAAACAATCGAGGTTTATCATATACAATAATAGAACAGAGGTATGTATGGAGTCAATGGGAGATGCCTGTCGGGTGTCCCAAAACTGTACAAACAGAACAATCGGGGTTTATANGCAGTGACGTCATACCATTGTTATAAATAGGGGAATCCCCCCGTCTCAACCCTAGGGCGGAGACAGATAAATCTAGCACCGGCAAAACGGGAGATAAAACTGTCAGGTGTGGGAGAAATGGGTATATTCAATGGATAACACAGTACATTATATGATAAAGTACAAATGTGTTTTTTTTAAGCTGTCCTTACAGTGTATATGTCCTGCATGCCCTGGGTGGTGCCGTTCGACCGGTGACATTTGAAGGTGAAGTTATCTTTAGGACTGGTTGGGTTGATGTAGTGGATTGCTACTCTTCCCTCAATACTTCCGAGGGCAAAACCTGTTGGAGCATTTGTTTTCTTGTCCGCAAAAATACTTAAACATCGATGCTGAAAATATAAAGGAATACTATACAATTATGTGCTTTTTACTTGTTGAATATTTTACTGCAGTTAATATCTCAGAATATTTAAAAGTTAAAGAAAATATTTTTTTGAGAGAAAGGGGTTATATTTATATAAAATAATCAATTAAATCCTTTTTGCCGATGAACTCCCTATTGTTGTCATACTGCTGTGATTAGAGAGTTTAGATTTCCTAAATCTGGTTATCATGAAAGTGGAATATTACTGACATGACAACAGAAAGCTCTCAGCCAATAAAAATATATTTAATGCTAACAAGTATAAAAATACCTGTCATTTTCCAAAAAAAAAGGATGTTTCTATAAGTTAATCGCTAACATATTCACATTTAGATTTAATGAAAGCAATCATTCATTATTCAAGTAGGTGTTTTTTATTATCATAAATTACCTGGAATTTCAGAGGTGATTCAATCCGGCTGAATTCCTGTGGTCTGTTCTCCAACTGGTAAACAATTAACCCCCTCTCTGCAGTTCCGACCACAGCCATGGGGTATTTCTGTGTGAAATAAAGTTTATTACATACTCACTAATAAATACAGTTTTTTGGTATATGCGATACGACACAATTGCTCTAATCCATATCAGCCCTCGCTGTATCACACCCCAAAACCTGTATCAGCCCTCTCCGTATCAGCCCGCAAAACCAATATCACGCCCCTTTCTTTTTTGAAGACTTACCTCACCCTTCAATTTATACAAAATTGAGTCCCCTATGCTTAAGGATGCTCCTAGCCAAATTTAGTTAAAATACACGAGAGTCATAAGCAGTTGTTGATGGTGAGATTTATTGGTAAACTACAGTTTATAAGAACAAAATAGTGCAACCATTTCTAAGATTCCTCTTTGTAAATTGATCATTTCGTTGCTGGTTTTTTGTTTCGTTCCTAATGATTATGTAACAGGTTTCCGCCAATGTTTAAATAACTTACCACATCAGCACAGTAGCATCTCTCTGGGAGCTGTATGGAGTCAATGGGAGCCGCCTGTCGGGTGTCCCAAAACTGTACAAACTAAACACAATCGGGGTTTATCATATACAATAATAGAACATAGGTATGTATGGAGTCAATGGGAGCCGCCTGTCGGGAGTCCCAAAACTGTACAAACAAAACAATCGAGGTTTATCATATACAATAAGAGAACATAGGTATGTATGGAGTCAATGGGAGCCGCCTGTCGAGTGTCCCAAACTGTACAAACAGAACAATCGGGGTTTATCATATACAATAATAGAACATAGGTATGTAAGGAGGCTCCAACCCTTTGCAACTAACCAGCAGAATGTGTTGAAACTTTCACATAATGCTTATGCAACTCTGGAAAATGAAAATCTAAGTATTACTATTGACAGAACAACAATAAAACATGAGGTTCCATGGGGCTGCATTAATATTACTCGACCAAGTATTGATCTCACACTGGTAACTTTAAAAGTGGAATAAAATAAAGCAACAGGCAATATATCAGTATCTTTGACTGTTTTATACTAAATTGAGTCCTCTTTGCCCAGGGATGCTCTACACCAAATTCAACTGAAATCCCTCTAATTGTACAGAAGAAGGGTTTTAAACATTTATCCCTATGTTCTCTCTAATGGGGTGACCCCACCCTAATGTGCTCCTAGGAACCATATAGTAAATAAAACAAAAATCTAAAGTAAAAGAATTTATTATAATAACAGGGAGCTTGACATTTGACCTTTGAAGCCTGAACAGTGATACCAAACAAACACTTGTGGTAATAAGGAAGCAATAAATGATGTAGATGTACATCTGTTAGCTCTATTTCAATGCCATCCCATTCATCTGTGTGTTATATCTGGTGATTCTGGATATAAGGGTTCACTTGGGTGATTTATGAAGCAGGTGTTCGATTGTCAATATTAGAACTCTTCAATGTTTATAATATCGCCAAGCAACCTTGAATATAATATATTGATAATGAATCTCGTTGACCATAATTTTTCTACATCCTTTAGTTGTAGGTAGATATTTGAGTGTCATATATAATATACCCAATTGTATGTTTGTAAATCCAGCAAGTTGGTCGATTTTTCACTTTACAAAAATACCATCCTCAATGTTACCATGACAGCTAATCGCAGCCCAATCATGGAAGCGGTGACAAGAATGAAAGTTGTAGTCTTATGGCTAACCTGCCATATTTTCCTTCGAAATTGGTCAAGTGTGATCTTTTTCCATAAACTTTCACCCTTTAACTTTGACCAATGACCACCTATATCTACTAAGGTGCAGAACGCAATGTTACCATAGCATGTATATATATGTATAAACTGTTGAGGGGTGCATGAGATATCTTGTTCACAAGCCTTTTACTTCAAAAGTGGTCAAGTGCGATCTTTGACGGTGACCTCTGACCCTTTGACCTTGACTGATCACCACCATAATCTCATCAGGTGTAGAACTTTATATTACCACGCTATAAAGTATACATCAGCTAAATGTGTACAGGGTTACATGGAATATCTTTATACATAAGCTTTTCACTATGGACAGTCAGATGCACCGACAAATCAGAGGCATGGTAGTCTAGTGGTAGGATGACGGGCTTGTGACCGAAGGAAGGCTTGCGGGTTCGAGTCATGTCATGACACTGTGTTACATCTTTGAAAAAGATACTTTACTCTGCTTGTTCCAGTCGACTCGTCTCTAAATGAGTACGTGATTGGGCAGCTCTAGACTTGTTGAATGCTAGCTGTGAGCGCAGGAATGGCAGCACCGCCTGTATATATGCTCCCCAGGGAGTTGTGAAAGATATTTGCTGGTTGCAAAGGCCCTATATAACCACGGATCATAATTTGTGAGCCTCTTTGAGACGACCTACTAACTACATGTAGGTGGTGATAAAGCGGTATATATATAAGAACCTCTTTGTATTATTATTATCAGTTTATTATGAAGCGTTTACTTTATACCCTGTCACTGAATGGAAATAGATGTCTTGACTTTAACAATTAACTCTTTTTAATATTAAATATCTGCTGCATAAATGTAAGTGTTTTCTAAAGCACTGATCATATGCCTTTAAATAAACTGATTCTAGCTGAAAAACAGCTACCTTATAAAATATTTTAAAGAGCTTGGAGTATGTGTCTGGTTGATTTACCGACCTTGAGAGTCTTGTCCCAGCTGCCTGTCATGACACAGCTGTAGTTGGGTGCCTTAATGTGGTGGATAGTCTTGATTGGGGCGTCGTGCTAAAAGGGACAACGTATTAACGTCAGGTAAAGCAGTGAGGTACGGTCCAAATACACATTTCTGACTACTCACGAATCTAGCAAATCAAACACACATGATACATGGCATACATTTCATATCAAATATCAAAGTATAGAACATAACGAACACAATAAGTATAACCAACGACATTCACATAGAAAACACCACACAAATCTACAAACAACTTATTGACGGTTGGCCATCTAGGCTGGGTCAAAAAAAGAAAATAGACTAAACTCTAAATCTGCAGATGGAAAGTTTGAAATAATGGTTATAATACAAATCTATATAAAATGAAATTCTTTTACGTAATTAAACAATATGTAAAATCTCACATATAAACAACAACATTCAATTATAAACAGTTGACTTTATTTAGTATATGATAAGTGTATATATTTTTTATGAAAGTTGAATTGACATAATGGTCAGACAGAAGTCATTCTTCTCTACTCTATTCTATTTTATGGGCAGTGTAGATCAAAGATGAGACCTGTTATATGTCCTACGGTTGATGATATGCTGAATTCCTATACACAGCTGTGTTACCTGTGTTACCTGTATGGCCTGGTTACTATTCCTATACACAACTGTCTTACCTGTGCAATCTGTATGGCCTGGTTACTACTGTCTTACCTGTGCAATCTGTATGGCCTGGTTACTATTCAAATCCCACATTTTCGCAGTCTTGTCACAGGAGGCTGTGAAAACTTTAGTACCATCCTGTAAAACATTAACAGACAAATAATTTATTAGACTAAAAGCAAATATCGCTCACCTTGATATTTAAGCAGTCATAGCAAAATACTCTCATTAAAAATTATACTGTTCTACAAATATTTAATTTGCAAACTTTGTCGGCTTTTGATTATTCGGGAGTCATTTTTTTTATATATTGACCCCTGTGACCTTTAAAGTAGGTCAAGATCATTTCCATTCGCAAACTTTGTCGTGCTCAATCCAAAGAAATAACCAGACAAATATTTAGATTCTATACCTTTCAGTTCTTCAGAAGACGTCATTTGAAGTGTTTGACATATTTGACCCTTGTGACCTTCAAAGTAGGTTAAGGTCTTTTTCGTTCTCAAACTTTGTCAGGTTATATCCCAGGATGCCACCAGCCAAATATTATGATTCTGTAGATATATTTAACCCCTGTGACCTTGAATGTAGGTCAAGGTAATTTTCGTATTATGTTGGGCTCATACCATGGAAGCTTTTAGCCAAATATCATGACTCCGCCCATTCTTCAGAAAAAGTAGTTTAAAAGAAAAGTTTGTTATGGACAATGACGTATACAACAACGCTATTTTCATACAATACCCAATATTAACCCGGAACCAGTATCAGGTTGATAAGAATGTCTCTGAATGATATGAAAATTACAATCGATAACCTCATAATATTTCATACATCAAAATCATGACCATGTGACGTTTCACTTACATCGCTCCAGTCACAGGCCAGGATAGGGCCTTGGTGAGTCTGCTGGGCTTTAGGCACTGTCTGGCCGGTCTGCTGGACCTCCCAACATCGAATCTGTTCAAATAACAGACAGTAAAATAAAGAGATACAAACTGTATGTTATACATAGTCATTACACCCAACAGCATTGATGCTGACATAGATAATAATCTCACAGGAAAAATGTCTCCTTGATCATGTAACAGGCACATTCAAATAGATTTCTTCACAATTGTATATATAGATCTATCAGAACAAATATCCGTGTTAATCAAGAGATTCATTTTATACAAATTAAAAAATAAGAAATCGTGCCAGGAATAATTGAAATGATAAACAATATTGCAAAGGGTTGATCAGGTCTAAAGGCAAGGGAATCAAACATTTAAATTAACATTATATTTCACAGCTGTCCACTACAAAATAGGTCTGGGACAAGGGCTAAACTTACATTATATCCTTGCTGTCCGCTACCGGGGAGGTCTGGGTCACTGTGCCTGAGCTAAACTTACATTATATCCTTGCGGTCCACTACAAGGAAGGTCTTGGCCATTGTCCGAGAGCTAAACTTAGATTGTTATCCCAGCTGCCTGCTAGAAGGAAGGTCTGGGCCATTGGCCAAGAGCTAAACTTACATTGTTATCCCAGCTGCCCGCTACAAGGAAGGTCTTGGCCATTGTCCGAGAGCTAAACTTAGATTGTTATCCCAGCTGCCTGCTACAAGGGAGGTCTGGGCCATTGTCCGAGAGCTAAACTTAGATTGTTATCCCAGCTGCCTGCTACAAGGGAGGTCTGGGCCATTGTCCGAGAGCTTAACTTACATTGTTATCCCAGCTGCCCGGTACAAGGAAGGTCTGGGCCATTGTCCGAGAGCTAAACTTAGATTGTTATCCCAGCTGCCCGCTACAAGGAAGGTCTTGGCCATTGTCCGAGAGCTAAACTTACATTATATCCTTGCGGTCCACTACAAGGAAGGTCTTGGCCATTGTCCAAGAGCTAAACTTACATTGTTATCCCAGCTGCCCGCTACAAGGAAGGTCTTGGCCATTGTCCGAGAGCTAAACTTACATTGTTATCACAGCTGCCTGCTACAAGGGAGGTCTGGGCCATTGTCCGAGAGCTAAACTTAGATTGTTATCCCAGCTGCCCGCTACAAGGCAGGTCTGGGCCATTGTCCGAGAGCTAAACTTAGATTGTTATCCCAGCTGCCCGCTACAAGGCAGGTCTGGGCCATTGTCCGAGAGCTTAACTTACATTGTTATCCCAGCTGCCTGCTACAAGGAAGGTCTGGGCCATTGGCCAAGAGCTAAACTTACATTGTTATCACAGCTGCCTGCTACAAGGGAGGTCTGGGCCATTGTCCGAGAGCTAAACTTAGATTGTTATCCCAGCTGCCCGCTACAAGGAAGGTCTTGGCCATCGTCCGAGAGCTTAACTTACATTGTTATCCCAGCTGCCTGCTACAAGGAAGGTCTGGGCCATTGTCCCAGGGCTGAACTTAAGACAACTGACACTGTCATCTGGAGGAGACGCAACCTGTAAAATAAACCATACTATTTATATTCTTTCTTTCCTGGAAACAAAAGAGCAGGCAGGTTGGTGCACACGGTGTTCGCTCGAATTCTCAAGTAATTTTAAACAGATTATATTTAAACTTCATGGGAATGTTAATTACTAATACTATGAGAGCTCGGACAATTTCGATAACCACCTTTATACAATGGAAATTTACTTAGTTATGCTCTTTCAATAATATAATAAGTTGCTGAAACAGTGTCTGCTTGATATCTCAAGTCTTTTCAACAGATGAATTTCAAACTTCCTGGGAAGATTATATTGAAAGCTCAGAGGTGTTTGATATTCACCATTGTCTGACTATTTAGACAATTGCTGGAACAGTGTCCAAACAATATCTGAAATTATCTGACTAATTTATGGAGTTATTCCCCCTGAATCAGTGGTGTGAATGTTATCACAATTATCTCATCATAATTGATAGACTTATTCCCCTTGGTTTTATTAATGATGTACTATATACATTCCAAGATATTTCATCGCACTCAATGATCTACCAGGCATGTAGACCATATTAAAAGCACAGGGGAGATGAAGTTGCTGAACATCAAGGTCAAATTCATTGTGGGCCGATTGGTTCACCTATTTGCAACATCTCCTTGATTATTACTTTTGTTAATTGTGTCTCAAAAATGAGCTTTTCTTTTCACCTATTAGTGAAATGACACTGTGCAGACTTGTCTATGAAATTAGCTTGTGACAGTGAATTAAATGTGTGTGTGTTATATTCCTTCATCGATTATATTTGTGTGTCTTTGGCTTGACATTTGAACCACTTCAGTGACTTTTAATTTCTTCCTTCTAATTTTTGGACGGAAATTAAAGTGCATAAAAGAATCAGTGCTTCAGATATAGGAAGCTGCTAAAAAAATCGCCAACCACTGGGCTTTTCTGTTCATATAGGTGTATAGTACTAATATTAATGCCCCGCCCAGTTTTTTAATCATTCCTGTACCTTGATGTGAATCACACCAGGGCGATTTTAGAATTAAGTAACAACATTCGAGTCTGCATCCATACATTATTTTGTAATATGAACTATATCTGTTGATCTCCTATGAAACTTGAAGTTAAACTATGCCTAAAATGTTGTTAAATTGTCAAGTTAATGTAGCAAGGGCAATCAAAATCTGATTTGACCACCATGTTGGAAACTTCATCCCTCTTTCGATATAGGTCAAACCATAAATATGGGTGTCATGACCCAATATCGAAATTGTAGTAAACATGGCCGCATCATCAGTAGAAACACTATATCTGGCCATGCAGGCCATATATATAAACGGATAATTGAGATAACATCACACAGGATTTGTCATGACTTCCACCCCCCCACCCCCCAGGAAGGACTTAGCTATTTTCTGAAAGAGTATTTTTCATTAGTAAGGATTCATTATTTCAACAATTATGCATTATTTTGATAACATTTATGATATGAGGCGTGAATTATATGTAATCTTATAGATAAGCACTTTTGTTTTTGCTCCATTAGTTGGCATAGGACCGCTTCGCAACTCTGAAGACGCAATATATAAAAAGTGTCTCGTAGTCAGAATCTTTGTTATCGCAGCTAATAGGTGTAGCAAAAGAATATGTGGCAAAATCAACTTCCTTGCCCTAAATGTCATATATACTGACCTCAATGTCATATATACTGACCTCAATGTCTTTCATTGCATTTGCGTTTGTTGAGGCTGTGCTGCCAAATGAATTATTTGACCCAAATATGCTCATTTTTTCTAGAGACCACACTCAGAAGCGTCAATATCTGGAAGAAATCACATTAAATATTATTATCACACATGATACAGAATATTTCCAAAGTAAACTTAACATGAAAACATGGGCTTATACATTATCAGGTTGGGGAAAACCACCAACTTGCGTATACTACACAAACTCGCCTATTAAAATCAAGTTGGAGTATGGATTTGCTACTAAAAATAACCCAAATTGCTTTAACAGTAACTTTTGCAATTTATTATTAAAAATTGCATTTTGACAAGGTAAATAATGTTTTGCTGAAAGATGTTTGCTGAAAGCGTTGGCTACTTAGAAACTTGATGTAACTCTGCCGGAAGTATTGCATCTAGTTTTGGTATTTTTCCACATGCAAATAAAGTTTATTTTTGCATATGTATGATGTTTCATGACTAAATAAATGCGACCTGGACAAACAATTTGAAAAAGTTAAACTTAAAGTGATTTTGGCTATTTTTAGTAACAAATCCATATCCCAATTGTCGTATAATAGGCGAGTTTGCGTATTATACGTAAGTTGGTGGTTTTCCCTGACCTGATTATTAGTTCCTGGATAATACTTATAAGGTGATGCAAGGTGTGTTCCGAGTTCCAAATAAATACACATGCACAGGGGCTCGAGCGGTTTCGAAAGTTAGAATTTTGAATGTGTATAAACACCGGATAAAAAGTGTTGCTGTTAATGGTTGTGTATAGGTTTATTACAACCGGAAGTATCCCGAAACCGAGCCCCTGTGACGATCTACGCACACTAGACTAGGTACTTGGTACAAATGTNAGAATTTTGAATGTGTATAAACACCGGATAAAAAGTGTTGCTGTTATATACTGGTGTGTATAGGTTTATTACAACCGAAAGTATCCCAAAAACGAGCCCCTGTGACTATCTACGCACACTAGGTACAAATGTAGATCTTGCATAACATTTAACATGCTACTNCCCCCCCCCCCCCCACCCCCACACTCAATGTAGTGCTATGCTCAAACTGTTAAATTAAGATACACAATTCTTGCTACTATGCGGGGCAGTAAATCTAAAGTGAATCTAAAATCATTACAGTGGTTTACAGTAGACATAAATAGATCAGGGAATTTCCGCTTTCAGAATTGACTTGGTACCACCAGGAGTGGGGAAAAACTGCGAATATGACATAAACACACAGTTACATTATTGCTCAACACATCTTACCGACAGCAAGTTATAAAAACATATATGTCATATAAAATATAAACAATTATTTCAAAAACGTGCCTCACTTTCTTCGTCCCCTGTAAATTGTAAACGTAATTAATACTACCGTTTAACACGTTACAACCACTATGCAGAAACATGATTACGCCTTTATTCATCAGGCTACTAATGTATAGATCTCAGTAACGTTTGGAAACATAGCGCTGTCAACAAAACGCTTATTTTGTAAAATTAAAGATGCAAGCTCCTTAATTGTTGACAATCTGTTGAATTAACCCAAACACTCGCGGATGCAGGGGTGTTGCCCTATATAGCTAGTTGTCCGGGCAAAACACCATTTTTTCCGTATCCAAAATTAATCTGACCCAAATATATTTGCAGATTTTCTCTCATTTCATAAGTACAAAGTGAATTTCTCATTAAAAAGTTGAACCNACCACACACACACACACCACCACCACCCACCCGCACACCCAATGTAGTGCTATGCTCAAACTGTTAAATTAAGATACACTTCTTCCAACTATGCCCACTGCGGGGTAGTAAATCAAAGTGCATCTAAAATCATTACAGTGGTTTACAGTAGACATAAATAGATCTGGGGATTTCCGCTTTCAGACATTGACTTGGAGTCGGGTAAAACTGCGAATATGACATAAACACACAATTACATTATTGCCCAACACATCTTACCGACAGCAATATATAAAAACATGCATGTCATATAAAATATAAACAATTATTTCAAAAACGTGCCTCACTTTCTTCGTCCCTCGGTAAATTGTAAACGTAATTAATACTACCGTTTCACACGTTATAACCACTATCGAGAAACATGATTACGCCTTTATTCATCAGGCTACTAATGTATAGATCTCAGTAACGTTTGGAAACATAGCGCTGTCAACAAAACGCTTATTTTGTAAAATTAAAGATGCAAGCTCCTTAATTGTTGACAATCTGTTGAATTAACCCAAACACTCGCGGATGCAGGGGTGTTGCCCTATATAGCTAGTTGTCCGGGCAAAACACCATTTTTTCCGTATCCAAAATTAATCTGACCCAAATATATTTGCAGATTTTCTCTCATTTCATAAGTACAAAGTGAATTTCTCATTAAAAAGTTGAACCAGGTTTTTCCATGGCTTCACCTAGCCAGCAATTACAATAGGTGTAGGCCTGAGAGTTTCCCAAACACCACTGATTTTCATTATTGTGATTATAATATGTTTTTTCCAGTTTCATAGATTTTGCTCCAGCATACCGTTTACCTTTTACTATTAATTGTGGTACGATGTACAGAATACCTCATATTAATTTGATGTTTATAGCGGTATATCCCAAAAGTGGAATTAAAACAAAATATTCAATTTATACTACATAATTCAATACATATTTCCCCAATGTTTGTGCAGAATGCACACGAATGTATCATTTTGCATCACTAAACATGGGACTGACACGTGCACGTCTCTAGGTATCGATGCATGATATTGTTTGGGATGGTTTGGGGGCTGATAAGTCACTAGTTTCTCCTGTATCGATGATATTGGTTGGGATGGTTTGGGGCTGATAAGTCACCAGTGCATTCAGTATAATGAATATCAATCAAAATATAGGGATGCTCACTGTATTGATAGCTGTGATAGTTGAACGTGGGATAAAATATAAATATATGGTTGTTGCCGAAAACTGTGATTCGAAATTACTATTTCATAAAGCAAGAAAATATTACAGGAACATGCTAATTTGAATGTATGTGTATTTGCATGAATAAGGTCATTAACAAAATTCGTACTATAATCATTTACTACACTCTCCTCCACCCCTCGCACACCACACACCACGTAGCATCACATTGATGCTCTAGAGCACACCTCTGTTTGGAGCTCCAATCAAATTGACGCGACAGTCAATCAAACCCGAGTGTCAATTGTATATCTTGAATTAGTTTAGTTTGAAATTGGCGAAAGTAAATTCTAAAAAAAAAATCTAGTTAGGGGAGATTGGGGCAATTTTTATGCCTTTCATAAAATTGTATTTGTATTTTTCATTGGTTTTATATTGGCGTGTGCGTATTTGCTTTTTTGTTAGTATGTTAGTTTTTTTCTTGACACTCTTTTTTTATATCTTAATTTAATAAAATATGAAATGCTTTTTTTCTAATTTCTGACACCATTTCATTCTATTCAAAACCTTCACCACCTTCGCTGACTGTGTCTGTCTCATTGCGTTCTGTGTCATCGTCACATCACTGTTATTAATATCGAGATTAAGATGAATTTAATTTGTCAATTTACCTGTCTTGAACTACGTATATTACATCCGGGTCATTTGTGTCGTATGCTGCACATAAAACATGTAACCAAGGGACCTTGCAGTCTTGGTGAACTCAAATGTAACACTGCCGCTTTTTTCACAACTCAGTGTACGAGTCCTTCAGTGAGATAAATCGTCCAATTTCAAGTCAATTACTGCTGTGTGGCGATGATGAGTTGTTAGATGAAGAAAATGCATTAATTTTCTTCTGTTCTCAAAATTTCATTATCAGCTCACGAAGATTTGAATGGGTTTGTCTTCTATTTCAATATATACATTTCGTTTACATTGGCATTCTTCACGTTCTTAACTGTTTACTATCATTTAATATAGGGCTAATCTGAGTAATTCTCTCTCTCCTCTTTCCTATCCTATCCTCCCCTATTTTCCGTTTTTACTCATATACTCAACGCATTGCTGCATATTTCTTTCTCAAATATCATAGTCATAACTCATGTGGTCCTCATATCGAATGTCATATATTTCTTCCACTGGAGATGGATCTACATAGGTTGTAAAACTTGTTTCCAAAACCAATTTCATCAATTTTGTATTGCTTTACCTCATATTGTAAATGAAAACAGAAATGAAATAAAGTTTATATTACATTTAAAAACAAGAGACCCAAAGGCCTTAGCGGTCACCTGAGTTATATCATAGGTACTGGTAGCTTTATTTTATTGTTTAGATGTGATGTGGAAACCAGCATGTAAACTAAGTGAAATACAATACTTGTCAAGTCATCAAAGGATAAGAATTTTAAAATATTGGTAAACGTTCCCTTTGGGGCCCCGCTCTAACCCCTGGGGATAGGGCAGGAATTCCAAGTGTACAATGTAATACCGTCATCCACCAAAGATGATTCTGACCAAGTAAAAATAATTTCCAACAGAAAATTGTAAAAATACACCCAAAAGTGTTGTTTCCCTATATAAACTATAGTAAATTTACCCCCTCCCCAAGGGAGAACGGATAGCTCGGGGGTCCTGAAATTTACAATTTAAATAAAGCCCCTGATGATCTTTCCATCCATGCAGAGAAAATGATTGCAATACCTCTGAGTATGTAGAAGAAGATTTTTGAAAAATTGGTTAATTTTCCCTTTGGGGCCCCGCCCTGGCCCCTAGGGTTGGGGTAGGAATCCCAATTTTACAATTTAAAACCATCTTCCTTCAAGGATAATTCTCACCAAGTAAGAATAATTTCCAACAGAAAATTGTCAAAATATACCCCAAAGTGATGTTTCCCTATATAAACTATAGTAAACTTTACCCCCTCCCCAAGGGAGAACGGATAGCTTGGGGGTCCTGAAATTTACAATTTAAATAAAGCCCCTGATGATCTTTCCATCCATGCAGAGAAAATGACTGTAATACCTCTGAGTCTGGAGAAGAAGATTTTTGAAATATTGGTTAATTTTCCCTTTTGGGCCCCGCCCTGGCCCCTAGGGTTGGGGTAGAAATCCCAATTTTACAATTTTGTAGCCCCATCTACCAAGGATGATTCTGACAGAATTTGAAAAAATTCCATCCACTGGTTCTTGAGAAGAAGTTGAAAATGTAAAAAGTTTACGCACGACGGACGACGACGGACGGAAAGTGATTGGAATAGGTCACTTGAGCAAAGCTCAGGTGACCTAAAAAAGAAGAGAAAAATCATCTATGTATACTAATGTATTACAGTCATTTTCATCCACTTCATACCGTACTCGTAACTCACAAAATATTTGGCATATTAGTTATGACTCTCGATAGAATTTTGAAAATTGCAGTCGGGATATTACTTCAGATTTCCCTGCGATTTGTACCGGTATGTTAAAACAGACCTGGTCTCGAGGAATAAAACCTGTCAAATCCTTTGACTCCATACCTAAATTGTATACCAAATATGTTCGTCCTTTCTACGTGTTAGAAAAGGTATCACAATGCATGTTTTTTATTCTCCTGTNTTTTTTGTCACAATCATGCCATGAATGTATTCTTTACGGTGACCATCATTTGATTAGATTTTCATTAATATTTTACATAACATGCACATTTTATCAACACTTAGACAGCTTCTGAAAGGTACAACTTTGAGGAGCCATAAAAAACAAACCAAGTGACCTAAATCTTTATACTTTATAGATTTGTG